AGATCTTTTATGCAGAAATGCTTAATTGACATTTTTCCGAGATCTTTTCTGTCTTTATTTCCTTCCGAGATCCATTCTGCTAATTTTCCGAGATCTTTTCTGATTTTATCCTTTTGACATATTTGTTACAGTTCAGTTATCTATCAATCAACATGAGTTAGAGATATTTATTAAAAAAATTATACTAAATAAATTAACTATTTGTAGAGAAAATTTGATTAACTACAATAAGCAGCATTTGTACCTAAGAATTTATCACATGTATCTGGTTCTAGTGATTTGCAACGAGAATGACAGGTCTTGTCGGTACATCCAGCATCAAAAAACGAATACTGAGGCGTTGGAGAACATAAAACGCCAGAACAACAACTACACACGCATGTGGTAGGCTTAACTGATTTTGTACTACTTGGTGATGAACGTTGTGGAGTACTTTTAGTTGGTGTAACTGCTGATGAACTGATACTACTACCACTTTGATGACAATCAACATTAATTCGACCCATTTCATTATAATAGGCATTGTAACAAGCTTGATATTCTTGAGAACAGGTTTCAAGACATGAGCGACCAGTACAGGATGAAACTGATACAAAACCGTATGAATATGGACGACAGTCAATTCCACTATCACAACAATTACAATTACATGTAGCAGACAATGTTGATTTGAATGTGGCCAATGTACAACCAATGATGACTAATAAATTGTAGAAATACATGATAATATTTTTGAGTACCTCTAAAATGAAAAGGTTGAATTAATGATGTGTTGATATAGATTTAACAAATTGAATAGGTATTAAATTAGTGTGATATATTATTACTACCTACTGTATTCGTTTGGTTTTGATTAATTATTTTTCTTGATGATGTGCGAATGTACATCTAACACGGAATCTTATATACTATCGTTAATAATAATGGAAATCTAGTGCATAGCGTGTTACACACTGGGAGCAGAACCAGATGTATTACCTAGAAGATTCGAATTATTTGATTTTAATAACAAAAAAGGAAATGATAACGTTATCATCAAATTTTATGTAGACTTCGAACTCAATTTTAGTCATCAGACTAAAGTGCAACATTCTCTTAGTCAAATTCTTAGATGAAAATAATCTTTCTACAATTCAATTAGCCTTTTGGATCCTCGAGTTGGAATGGAAGTTACAAAAAAAGAAAATGGTAACGGTTCAATTCTAACTTTAAATCAAAATGAATGATTGAAGAAGCATAAGTATTCAATGTGAAGCCAGTATGTTGTGTTACGAGCAAGAACTTATTATTAATATAGCGAAGAACTAGAATTAAACATCGAAGACAAGTGAAATAAATGCAAAATTCTTAAAACGTCGGTTGGTTCGAAATAATTTCATATTGTTCAACGTTTAATTCTCTAGTTTTGTCTCTGGACAAATACATATTTCTCAATAATACTCACTATAATAACACTTCTTGCAACCAAGATCGTGACTTCTTGAATTTTTTCAATAAGATCTTCACTTAATATCTTGATAAGAAAACTTAAGAAATTCTAAGAATCTAAGATCTTGAACGTCTTTAAATTCCTTGAGTTCTTGTACCGAGATCTTGATAATTGTTGAATCACCATTTTGTTTTACACTTTTCGTTACATATAACAGCAAAAATTTTCATACTTAGAATACCTTGGAAATTTCTTCTTTCTTGAATATAATTGTTCAAGGATGAACCTATGATCACATGTAATTGTATGTCTAATGGTTATGGTTGTTATAGAAAAAAAAGAAAATGTTTTCCATTATAATACTTTAAAACATTTTGACCCGATTTACTTACGACCTTAAAAGGACATATATACTTTTCTTTTAAAAATGGTGAAAAGAGTTATTACACACAGAGGATCACATGAATGAGCTAAACATGAATATATAATCCATTTTCGCTGGGAATATAACGCTTAAGAAATTATTCATAGTCAAATTTATTTAATTTCAATGAGTGAAAATAACATTTCTAAGATCAAAATGTACAAACTTTTTCTACATTTATTATCAACTTTGTTTAAGCATACGACAACACTATTTTTCTTCTGTTGCCGATAATACATTGAAACGAAAACCAGGCAAAATTCTTCAAATTGTCTCATCAGTTAGTATCATGTCATGAAAATTATTAATACAGCGTCAAAAAGATTTATAGTTAAAATAAACCATTTTTTCGAAAATTAAATAAAAGCATAAAGCACTATGCATTAAAAAAAGATAGAAACAAAGTGTGTAGAATGAATTATACTTTAGAAGGTTATGAAGACTTCTATTTCCAAGTCCTTGACTCGATGCCGTGTATATAAGATACAAAGTATATTTTATATACTACTCTTTATTTCACTCCTTTTATAGAATTATTATATATGGTGTACAGGAATGAATAAAATAAAGCAATTCGATCGAATAGACAACAACATTGGACATAGTATAGCGAGTGTCAGGAGCTAAAGACTTGCGGTTTTTCCCATTCGAAAGAGAAATAAATAAACGAAGAAATGAAAATGTGAGATGCATGTTGAAAAATTTGGTGATCAAAATTTCATTTACTCTTTCCTTTTCGAAACTTCATTTCTATGCACTTAATCCTACTTTTCACATTGTACAAATCTATTAAATACCATTAAATAAATACTTGTAGTCAGAGCTTTCCGCCGTCAACGACGATGTTCAAAAATTAATTCAGCATCGCCGCAAATTTTTTATCGGTGCACATGTCTACTTGTAGTTTTTTTATAAATTGCCATTGAAAGTTCATAGGATCGTCCAAGCACAAAGCCGCAGTTTGTCAGTGATTTGTATTAAATTCAATTTTTTTACACTTACGAGGGGACCTTTCGAGATGTTCCCTTCTGATTCTAATGATTTGTATATGAACCTATAGACTTCAGTAAGTTAGTAGACACCCTAAAAGGATTCGTGCCCGTGACTCTTGAAGATCCCGTTTTCTGGAAAACCAGTTTTTCAAAAACTTTAAAAAATAATCAAAACCTTCTTCAATGAAACATGATTGTAGCTCACAAATTTCTGATTAAAATGAGACATCTCCCAGCTCTACACGATCTTTCTTTGCAAAGTTATAGAATTTACAAGAAAAGCCTCAAATTAATTTCTTCTTATTTCTGTAGCTTTGAGCTGACAGTGAACATTTAGGGCTTTTCTTGTAAATTCTATAACTTTGCAAAGAAAGGTCATGTAGAGCTGGGAGATGTCTCATTTTAATCAGAAATTCGCAAGCCACAATCATGTCTCATTAAGTAAAGGTTTTGATTCTCTTTTAGAGTTCTTGAAAAACTGGTTTTCCAGAAAATCAGGTCTTCAAGAGTCATGGGCCCGAATCCTTTTAGGGTATTTACCCCCTCGTTGAGATCTATCGATCCATGTACAAATCATTTGAATCGAGAGTGGGCATCTCGGGAGATTCCCTCGTTAGTGTTTAAAAAACTCTCAAACTATTGCCATATATCTAATTTGGGTTAATTTGTTTTTTATATGTTTATTTGTAAAACTTTCATGCTTTTCAATAAAGAAAAAAAAGACTTTTTATTTTCTAGAAAAAGTCATTTTACATATAATATTAGTGTAAAATGACGTATGAATAATATTTTACATATTAAAATTCTACAAGTATTTTATTTAATAATATTATTAATAGACTTGTACAATGCGAAAAGTAGGATTAGTTCCATAGAAATGAAGTTTCGAAAAAGAAATGTAGAAAAAATTTGTACATTTTGGTCTTAGAAATATCTATGAATAATTTCTTAGGCATTATATTCCCAGCGAAAATGGATTATATATTCATGTTTAGCTCATTCGTGTGATCCTCTGTGTGT